AAAATCCACTCTCCTCTACCTTCTCCCTGTTTAACCACAAATGGTGACACACTATACCCATGTTCTCTACTTTGCTTTTATCCTTTAATAAATCTTGGAGAAATACTACATAAGCACACAAAAAGCTCTCTCATTTCTTTCTTCAATTCTTCTTTTTGAATGAGCTCTATTGTATAAATAGGACAGTTGTCTGATGAAAATTTGCTATTACAAACTATTTCATATGTAAGTGTAAGACAATTTCCTAAAAGTATAATTTCTGCATGGAGAAATATGAGAGTACCCATTTCCCTACAACACCTTTGTCAACCAAGCATGTTATCAAATCTTAGAAGTTTTGCCAATCTGAGAGGTAAAAATGCTATCTCAGTATAGTTTTAAGTTGTATGTGTATGTATTTAACAAATATGTTACTAAATGAATGCTGTCACTGAATCACTTATCATTTTCTTTTTACTAAATTATCTTATTTTTCCAGTAAGTCATTATTTTTATTTCTTATTAATTTCTAGAGGTTTATATACATGATATATATAAGGTTTTATATATATATTAAACCTAAGTTTAAATAGATCTAAGTTTAATCTCATATATATATAAATCATGTGATATATATTTAAAATATTTGAATTTTTTTTTCAATTTGCCATTTGTCTTTTGAATTTGTCTGTGGTATACATGTGTGTATGCTTTAGCATCCAGAATTCTTTAAATTTTTATGTTGCCAAATTTATCAACATTTTATGTTTTATCACTTTTGAGTCATGGTTAGAAAGACTTTTCCATTCCAAAGACATAAATTATCCTTTAATAAATTTCTTTTTATTTTTGCATTTCAACATTGGGTTAATCTGGAATTTTTATGAGAGTGTGATTAAGGCATAGATCTAGCACTTTTACTACTAAATGATCACTCAGTACTTTTCTCCATTGACTTTGAGATGCCGGGAGACTATGCCAGATCTTTGATAACCAGAACTTTCAAAAAGCAAATCCACCAGAAAGTGCATTATTAAAGGGGTAGCAAGAAGAGCATGATAACTTGTCAAAATCAGTATCATAAATATGATTCTGCTCCCTATTCCTGACGCTTTTTCTTTAATTTCTATTTAGTGTTCTGGAGAAACTGAGATAAAAGAAAGTGGCAGTCTCTGTGCAGGTATAATTCTGTTTTTAGAGAGTAATTTCATTATGAAATCACATAAAAAATAACTTTAAAATCTTTCAATGACTGAGACCCTTTGTACCTGTTTATAGCAGTTGTAGAAAGAGTTCTGAGCCCCACCCATGCATGGAGCCAAATGTTGCCTATTTCAAACCTCCTGGCATTCCTGGGAAAAGGACAAGAATCTTTTTAATATTATTCATCCTTTCTTGTCCGTTTTCTCTCTAATAACCCCTCCAAATTTAAATCACTTTAATTATAATAATTAAACATATTGAGAGTTGTTTTCATGAGCCTACACTTTGCTAAGTGTTTCATTTACATTATCTCATTTGAAGGAACTCCATGACAGAGCTAGTCATATTAGCATTCTTTAAAGGTAGGTAATAGACACTAACTCTATGAAAGCCAAGCATAAAGAGAATTTATAACAAAGTTGTGGTAGTTCACCAAATGCAACAAATTGATGAAGAAAGAAGTTTAGTAAGGATAGGAAAGAACATGTAAGGTCTGGGGAGTAACTAATTAATAGGCTTTCTTGCTGGAATTTACCCTATGAGATGAATTGACTCCAGCTTTGTTCCATCATTTTTTTTTTAAATATCATTCTATTCCAGATTCCGAGTCCCACAAGAGAAGAGATGGATGTGATAGATTACACATCGCCACAAATTATTTGGAATCCTTCCCATCAAAAGTTAGAGCTTATTTCCTCACTCTGGGAAACTGAACTGTGACTGATTTTAGTGAGAGGATGTGGCCAAGGTAGTATTGTGCAAATACCAGGGCAAGGCTTCAAGAGGCCTTGCAACTTCAGCCTTTACCCTTTTGAAACCTGATATCGCTGTACTGAGACAAGGCCCAGGATGGTCTTGAATATAACAAATCCCATAGAAGGAAAGAGATCTCAAAAGAAAGAAGGTCAACTCTGTCTGCTGAGGTCCTGATGCTTGAGCTAAGCTGCCAACAAAATCTCATTCTTTTCCAACCCAACAGTTAAATTTTGTCACGAGTGAACTCTGATGAAATCAGCAGAAATACTCCATTCATCCCAGAAGTGTAAGAAATGACAAAGTATTGTTGTTTAATCACTAAATTTGGAAATGGTCTGTTATACATCAATAGAGAGATACTGTTAGATTGGCCTAACTTAAATCACAGTTTCTTTCAACTATGTGCCCTTGTTTAAGAGATAGCAGAGAATGTGGATTAATCATTCAATTAAGACTAAATATAAATGGGTGATTTCCTGAAGAAAGGGGAACACATACTCAGTGACCAATAAGACAAGTATGTAATAGAGGATAGTATAGTATACATAGTATATACAATCATAACATATATAGTTATACTGGTATAATTACTATAGTGTATACCACTATAACCATTTTACAGATGAGGAAATTAAGAATTAGAAAGCAAAGATGTCTTCTTTACAGACACATCACCCAAAGCAGTGATAGTGAAGGCAAAGATAAACAGCTGGGACTACATCAAATTAAAGAGCTTCTGCACAGCAAAAGAGACAATAACAAAAACAAAGAGAAACCCCACCAACTGGGAGAACATTTTTGCACCCAACACTAATGATAAAGGACTGATCACAAAAATCTGCAAAGAGCTGATGAAACTCAACAACAACAAAGAAAATAACCCAGTCAAAAAATGGGCAGAAGAGCTAAAAAGAAACTTCTCTGAAGAGGAAATGCAAATGGCCAACAGGCATATGAAAAAATGTTCAACATCACTTGTCATCAGGGAAATGCAAATCAAAACTACCATGAGATACCATCTTTCACCAGTGAGAATGGCACATATTAAAAAAACTAGCAACAACAAATGTTGGCGAGGGTGTGGAGAAAAAGGAACTCTTCTGCACTGTTGGTGGGAGTGCAAACTGGTCCAACCACTGTGGAGAGCTGTGTGGAGATTTCTGGACCTACTAAACATAGAGCTTCCATATGATCCAGCAATTCCACTCCTAGGTATTTACCCAAAGGACACAGAAACATCAATTCCAAAGAACACCTGCACCCCTATGTTTATAGCAGCACTGTTTACAATAGCTAAGCTTTGGAAACAACCCAAATGCCCAAAAATAGATGACTGGATCAAGAAGATGTGGTACATATATACCATGGAATATTACTCAGCATTCAAAAAAGATAAACACATGCAATTTGCAGCAACATGGATGGCGCTGGAAGGGATCATGCTCAGCGAAATAAGCCAGAAAGAAAAAGAAAAATACCGGATGGTCTCACTCATAGCAAGAATCTAGAAAACTTAAATAAGGGATCAGGAAAATGAATAACTATAAGAAAGTGAAAATCAAAATCAACAAAAAACTATGAACCAGAGACACTTTTAGGGGGGCGGGGACGGGAGGGGAGGGATTGGGGTCAGAATGGGGGGGGGGCTGCAATTGTATGGGGAATATAAAAATAAAATTTATTATTAAAAAAAAAAAAGCTATACCAATACCTCTTTATGGCATTGTCAAGTCATGTCCATTCAAATAAATTAATGTTCCCATCAAAAAAAAAAAAAAAAAAAAAGCAAAGATGTCTTAGGCCCTCAAATAATTAAATATCAGATGGGAGGGCACAATATACCATTCCCTCCCAGTAACTCAGATGTCTTATATATATTACATTATAAAATCAGAAAATTTGAACAAAATTTGTCTGACTTCATCCTCATTAGTAATTCAATGTTTTGGGGAGGAGAAAAAAATCCCTAAACAACAAAATCTGCACAGGATGAAAATGCACACACTAGTGAAAAGTAGCATTAATTTATCCCAAAACTAGCTCTTCCCTTATTATTCATTACCCAACTGCTTCTAGCATGACAAACGCTACCATTCATACCAGTGAGGTATGAGTTCTCACACCCCTATGCTTCTTCTGTCATCATCTCCCCAACTGAGAGATGCATTCTACTCACCCCAGAGACAGCCCCTCTGTGAGATATTACTGGTCAGAACAGACAGGCTCTTGGGCCTCCCCTGGGTGGCGCAGTGGTTGAGCGCTGGGTTGCGAGGCTGCCTGCAGTGCCAGTTCAATCCCCGGCCACAGGTGAGGGTCCCACAAAAAAAAAAAAAAAAGAAGAACTGATAGGCTCTTCCTAGTCTTGAAATAGCTGACACACACTCTGTCTCATATTATTTATTTGAATTTCAACTAGATGGTCAGCTTTCAAGTCTTGGAAGACATTTTATTTATTTTTACACTTGCAGAACTTAACATTCTCAATAAAGGTCTGCTGATCCAACAGAAAAGGGAAGTATCTTCTTGGATATTGGGATCCTTCATCATTTGATTTTATATTTTCTTTTTCCACGTTATTGGTGTTTGTTGAAATACAGACCCAATCTTTTTTATTTTTCTCAGTCTTTGCAGGGAAAAGTGCATACCAGAAAGCTACTCTTGACTTACCTCTGATTAGAATCAACAACTCAAATGAGTTACTTTTTTTTCCAGTGCTGAAAAACTATATCTTTTCCAAAATTTGTTGGGAGGGAAAAAAATCCCTAAACAACAAAACCCACACGAGGTGAAAATGGAGTCTTCATTTTAGTTTTCCTAATGCAGAGCTCCTCTAACTTAATCAGTATATATAGAATTTTGGGATCTTACTAAGCTTCAGATTTTGACTCTGTGGGTCTGGGGTTAGGAGATCTGAAAGACTGCATTTCCAACAACATTCTAGAGGAGGTCAAGGCTGCTAGTTCATTGATTATACTCTGAACAGCATGAATCTGGAGACCAAGTGGTAAAGATGTGAGTAAAACCAGTGAACAAAAATCATCAGAAAACTTGTTCACACTTACCTCTGGGTTAATGGATTTTCTTTTGGATCATCTGTGGCTGGTTTTCCAATTTGGTTGCCTAACAGAAAGTTTGCATCAGTTGTGGGTTGAGAAACAGGAGAGCCTGTCTCTTGCCATTTCTTGCTCAGGCCATTCTGAGCAGAGGCATTAGGAGATCAGCCCTAAAACAATGATAACATTCATAAGGATACAAATGTGTAAAATGAACGTATGCCTGATTGTGTTTTTGTTTTTGTTTTTTACATCAACATTTTTTGGCATAAACCCAATTTCTTAACTGAATTGAGAAATCCTTGACCCATTGACTTTATTATATGATTTTAACCTGAAGCTACATCAGATGTTATAACCAGTTACATTTATTTGAATTGATAAGAGCCAATACCTCATATAAATTTAAACATTATTGGGCACATAATATTTGAGCATACATAAAGGAAAAAGAGGAACTTCTGTCAATAATGAATATAAAATCAGTACTCCAGTACTGAAGGACCCATGATGACCAGTGTAAGACAGGAATAATTTTGAGTTGGTCCAATCCACACTAAAATTCCAAAGGGCTAAAATTAATTTAGTGTTGATACTTTTAGAGTTTTTATAATAAGATAATTAGAGATAATCTGGGATATTGTTAAAATGATAAAAACCTAAATTTTTAGTCATTTTCAAAGACCACAACCCAATTGCAAGGACAGGAATAGTCTGACCAGGAATTTAACTGTTTCCCACCATTGTCTGCTGTGGTGAATTCACATCATTAGGGATGGAGAGACCTCCTGCCTTTCCATCTTGCAGTTGTAGGCATGTGGTGGTCATCCCTCTAATTTTCACACTTTGCCTAACTTAGTTTTCCCTTGACCAGAAACAAAGTTGTCTCATTCCATTAACAAGCAGGCAAGACTGAGTGAGTAAAACAGGCACATACACGCATGCACATTATTTTTATCTCCTACTAGGGGTGAAGAATGTAGCTATAAGGTCCTGACAGATGTACTGGTTGCCCCATGGGAAGATGGATTCTTTGCATCATCAGTACTTTCTTCACATTGCCATTAGATATCTCAAGAGAATAAATAAACAATAAAGGAGTATTTAACAAACCCTAGAAGTATGAGTGCATACTTGAGGTTAATAGAGAGTAAGAAGAAACTAGTAAAGGGGGAGAGGGCGCATTTCTAAGAGAGAAAGAGACCCAATGGACTATGGTGGAAGATTATGGGTGCTTTGGTGGTAGAGGTGATGTGGTAACAAACATCTAAGGAGGTCTGAACTTGTTCCCCTAAATCACATACACTATTATAAGCTATTGTTACCTCAATAAGAAAAAAAGCTACAGACAGAAAGAAAAAAATTTAATTAAAAAAAAATTAGCACCATGATTGGCAGAAATAGTAATGACAACAAAAAATGTCAGCCTCTGCCACTAACCAATCCTGCTAACCAGGACTTCTAAATTGGAAGAGATGAGACATACAGTGCCAGTGTATTCATTTGTTTAAAGATTAAACCATAAGTGAAAAGAATCCCTTTCCTCCAATTCAACTTTCTCTTTTACAAAAGAGAAACTAGACAAATGAGCTCACTGTGAACAACACACAGTTGAATCCATCTTGAAACCATCTTCAGAACAGTAGGAGGAAGGAACACTTCCTAGGCCGGTATATTGTACTCCAGGTAGTGTGGTGTTACTGAGGTAGAAGAGAAGGATACACGGGGTCTGAGAAAAGGCAGAAAAACCATCAGTGGACCTCAGCATAGTACAGATGGCTCATAACCGTCTTGAACAGAGCCATATGTGGCTCTTCTCCATTTGATGACAAGTAAGGTAGCCAGATATTTATGACTGGGATATTTTAAAAAATAGGTTTTATTTTGAAGGTACATTAAGACCAAAATATCAGTACCATTAAAAAGACAGTTTGTTATACTTACAGAGCCCAACAGAAGAGGGCATATTATGTCAAAGTGGGTCATACAAGGAGGCAGTGGGCCTCAAGCAAATTTTGTAAATACAAGCTAACCAATCCAGAGACCACACCTGCAATTGTCTCTTTTATAAACTTCTCACACTCCACTCCACCCCAGAACCAGGTACTGGACAACTCCAGACAGCCCTTTATGCCCCACAGCCCACTTAAATCATTCAATCCAGTCAATAAAGACCATTTATAGTGACTCGCATATTACATCCAATGGAAATCACAATAAAGTCTCTTGTCCATATTTTACCCCACTTGCTGTGTTCTTTTTTAAATATATATATATATTATTTATTTATTTATTTATATATTTATTTATTTATTTTCTTACATCATTGTTCTCCCCTCCAGTGTAGTCCCTGTAGTTCTGCACTACCATAGCACACATCTCCATAGTCCCTTGTGCTCTTCCTCCCTTTTGACTCTTTCCCTCTTGCTGTTTGCCTCAAGTCTATCAAAACACTAAAAATGGACCTAACTTATGATCCAGTGATACCACTACTAGGAATTTACCCAAAGGACACAAAAACACTAATTCAAAAGGTAACCTGCCCACCCATGCTTATTGCAGCACTATTTACAATAGCTAAGATATGGAAACAACAGCAGCAGGGTTGGTCAAGAACACAGGGAGTCTTTTTCCTGACCCTCTGTTTTGATTTTCTATGCTCCACCTATAAGTGTCCAAAGTGCGGGAACATGTCAATGTCAATGGGTTCTCACCTATGCACACAATTGCAAGACCATCAGGCTCAGGGTACAATAACAACAGGGTTTATTTAACAAACAGGAGATTTGGGGAAGCAAATAATTTCTAAGGCCACAAGTGGCCAGCTCTCTCAAGTCAGTGTCCACAGTGTCCAGAAGTCCCCCCCACCCAAAAATGTCAGTTATTCAAGATAGTGTTGTCCCATCAGCAAGGGCCACTGAGCTCCACTGTTCCTGACAGCAGTGCCATTTATGTAGTAAACAAACACCCATTGATATTCACTCAGTTAATCCCAAGGGGGTCTAGGGCAGTGGTGACCTCCTCCAGGACTGTGATATACGGAAAGGGACTGAGCGGCGAATCCTGCTGCAGGTGGAATATGACACAGGGTCCATGTTTAGCTCCATTATTTATTAAAAAGCCCTTGACAGACATGCTGAGCCGGTGAGGGGTGCTGTTTCCATGATGCACAGCATAATGGGCAACTGGGTTAGAGGTCAGGGCCTATGATAGCCTCTGTTTCCAGAACTGCTCAATAGTCCATCATTTGTTCTTTTACTGGTGTATAACAAGGGGGTTGCTTCTTGCATGAGAAGGCTTTGGTCAATTTATGGCCATCAGAGGTAGTCCAAGGATTCCAGTAAGAAAAAGTTGTCAAAACCTCTGCTGTAAAAGAATCTCTGAGGCACGAACAGGGGTACCTGATGATCTTATTTGGACAGATTTTACAGCACTTTTTTTGAGGAAGCCCCATTTAAAGTGCACTGATAAAGTAGCAACAGTGAAATTAAGTAAAATTTGTAAATAAGAAATATGTTGTCACCAGAAAGAAAAAACTGAAAGATGTTGAACTTGTATGTCCTTAATGAGTTGGTCAAATAAATATCCTTGGGGGCCAGTGTTGGCAGTGCAACATCACTGCAGAACACAGTTCAGATCTTTTCTGGAGAGATTATGTGCCCTGGCAAATGTTGAAGCATCTTACGGGTTGCCTAGAAAAGTGCATTGTTATAGAGATGTAGGCGATTAGAGATGAAGGTTATGGAGAAGAAGGCGAATTGCAACTGAGAGGTTGTTAAAATAGGCACGGAGCAGCCATATTAACCAAATCTACGATAGCAAAAATATTTAGCATTTGATTACATGGGGTCAGTAATTTTAACAATATGAGTATGGTATAGGAAATTAAGGTATGGAACCACAGTATTAAGGTTATAATTCACCAACAGGTACCATTCTTTTCCAGGCTTAAGATCCAGAAAAGCTGAATTTTTAAATGAACTAGTGGGAGTAAACACCCTTTTATCAAATAGATTTTATATAGTAAATTTTAATTTTTGGGTGCTATGTTTTAAGTTATATAGTCCATATTAACTATTTTAAGTGGGAATCCATGGGGTTTCACTTTATCAAGTCAACATGTAGGTACCAATGACTTGATTTAATTTCACTGTGTTAAAACCTCTATGCCCACTATGGGACATTTCAGAGCAATAGGTACTAATCCTGTGGAAAATGTAGGCAAAGCTACTGTTAAAGTGAGAAATATATATTTTTCCATTGTTTTGCTTTTAGTTACTTAGTTACACGCTTAAGATCTTAAAGGGTAGGGCCTCCCCGGTGGCACAGCGGTTGAGCGCTGGGCTGCAAAGCTGCCCGCAGCCTCTGCAGCGCCGGTTCGATCCCCGGCCACCAGAGGAGGGTCCCACATGGTGCGCAGACCTCTCCTGCCACCCGCTGCTCCCCTCAGCAGTGTACTTCGGTCCTTCTGCCTGCTCTGCTCTCCCCGCTCTGGCTCTGGTGAATCCTCTCACCCTCCCGCGCTTCTGACTGTACCCAGTGCTTGTATAAATAAATAAAATAAATAAATAAATAAATCCTTAAAAAAAAAAAAAAAACCATGAAAAAGATCTTAAAGGGTATACTTTTAAATTTAGTGGCCTCTCCAGATACAACTTGTGGCCCAGCATGGATTAATCTATGAAGCTGCGTCAATTGAGCTCATTTTAGCCAGTGCTAGAATTAAGTCAGTCTTGGAGGAACTTGTATTATTAAGTGCCTCAACTATTCTGTGTCTTTGCCTTGATTATCCTTTGCTTTGACTGTTCTGTGCCCCTCAGTGTGTAGAAACAGGGAAAGTTGATAAGGATTCTCTCAGGGCAAAAGTCCTGGTATGAAGGTCTATACATGCTGAAAACAGCATGTCCAGAAACAGAAGTAGGTGTTATGGAGTAGCACAAGCACTGAGACTTTCCTTGGCTTTCTCCTTACTTCTCAACCTTGGCTGGTACAACTGGTTATGCATCCCCCATATACTTGTGCATTTGCCTGCTCGCTTCTTTGATCTTTTCTTTTTCTGATTCTAAATAAAAATGAGACAGCCCTTGGAGCTGGGCTGCACTTTCTTGGTGCAGTCCCTTTAGGTTTCTCATTGTTCTGGACATGGACTCCGAGTAATCCATTTTTGTCC